CCTCCGTCTTCATTTGAAAACATTGGTTTTAGACTGATTTTCATTCAGAGGAGCTATTTTTTTAATTTAATTTTATTTTTAAACAAAATGTAAATTAATGTGTTTAACTCTCAATTGTTAAAAAACAATGTTTGTTTTTATATTTATGAGGTTCTATTATACCTAAACAGCTAGGGGAATTGAAAAAGGAAAAACCTGGGTACTCAGGGGGGCGGGGCACAAAGGTTTAGGGGTAAGCTAAAGCTAAAGATGCTAACGTTTGAAGACGTCACAGTAAGGTTTTGCTAAGCTGTAACCCTCACATGTCTCAGCTGTAATCATTCTGCAGGACTTTGTAAAAACAAACTGACTTGTGATCTGTGCAGATGGAGGGGTAGCAGCTCCGGCCTTTGCAGGACAGCTGGTAAAGTTTGTGGCAGCCTGCCAGCTCAAACTGGAAGGTCTGCTCAAACACTCCTGGAGACTCCGAGTAAAACCAAATCTTCAGAGCAACCTCACCTCCAGCAGGTAAAACCCATCTCCAAGATGTAAGTCTGAATAACAACAGAGTGCACAGTTAGACAGTAAGAAACAAGACGCTCAATCAGCTGCTCGTGGTTTCCTGCCTCTGCCTGAGTTTCCTCTCCAGCTGGTGTTGGTGCTGCTCGTGGGGGTTTAACTCAGAAGTGGAGGGTTGTGAGAGCGAGCGAGACACATCCAACTTGTTCCTGTCGCTCTCCATCGCCTTCTTTCCCTTTTTGTTCCGGGTTCTGTGGATCACCTTTTGCTTTGTGCACAAAAATAACGAAACATAAATCAGTATTTTTAGTCAGTATATCGCTATGGAAAGAATAACTGCTCAATAACAAAACAATGTATCAGCCTTTAATGAAATCTGGAATCAATTTCTCAAATATCTCAATCTCCCTAAAGGCCAATGACATATTCATGCCATAAAAAAACTCAGAATACTTTCATGTGCCTGTCTATTTATTTTATTTATTTATTTATTCACTTATTCATTCGTTGATTTATTTGTTCATTTATTTACTCAATTATTTATTTTTAATTAATTTTATGAACTTATATACAATAC